TGATCATATTAATTAAAATTTGTTTTATTTTCCTCAAAACAATTGACTTGAGCTAATTTCTGAAGAAAAATGTATTTGCTCTATGGGAAAATTCAGTCACTGCCAGGATTCTTTCTTTTTTGTACTATTTTTGTATAATTGAATTTGTTAACTTGTCTCACACCAGCAAGTATTTTATAGGTGCCTTGGATTAAAACAAAATTGATTTTTAAATTTTACTGTAAGTCATGCTTATGATGCCACTTTAAAAAAAAAATGCAATTACACAATGGTTGACACCCTTACTTAATGTGCCTATTTGTGTCCTAATTGTTTAGATGTTTTATGCATCTGGAAACTTTCCTATGAAACCACAAACAATAAACCGTTTTTTTGGTTAAATATTAAAGGGATAGCAGTGTTTCTCAGTGTGGTCCATGGACCTTTGGGTCCTGGAGTGCTTGTTAAGTATGCAGATCCCAGGGCTTCATCCCAAACCCAAACTCAGGGGTTGGCTTCAGAATCTGTTTTCAACAGGCACCTCAGGTAATTCTGAGCACACTAATGTTTGAGAACCACTAAGAAGGGGAGTGGAGGAAAATGAGCATTGTTTTGTTGGCTTAAAGCTAAGCTAAGCACATAATATAACTTTTGTTGTCAATTATATTAGCATTGTGCACTGAGTCTTTTATACTCGCAATTTGTTTAACGTTCTTTTTACTGAAACTCTTGGTTTAGTAGTAGCTACAAACATTGCTGCCTATAGCTCTTTGTACTTTAGTTGATGGCTTTTAAACTTACAAAATCATTTTCAGATCATGGCCAAGCCATGAAAACTCTCATCTTCATGTCTGCCTGCTAAAGCTTTTTGCCTTCCTGCTTGCGATTTTTGTGACATTTTATCTCAGACAGTTGTACTTTTTGATAACTTGGGGAAAACAGAAACTACTTGAATAAGGGATTGCCAGGTCCACTGCATCGTAGAGACACGGTGTCTGTAAAGAACGTGACAGTTGTGAATATTCAGATGTGATATCTTTTCCTGCAGAGTGCTTTTCACAGGGAGATCATGAACAAGTGATTATATTAGGGATTATTTTATTTATCGATATATGATCTAATGTGAAATCACCACTTGCAACTTTTTAGATCTGTATGTTGCCTGTTTAATATATTTTAAAGTTTAAAAGAATTTTCTACCCACTGTTAATTTTAATTGGATAACATTTTGTCAAGTGTTTTGTTTTGTTTTTTTGATTGTTATTGATGCTAGCTGGAATTCAAGAAATGACATTGACCTTATTCAAATAAAGAAATATTTTAGTAAACTTACTTTTTCCTTCATTGTTCTCCAGTAATCGGTAGCTATTTATTTTCCAGATAGGCCCTGATTTGTGATAGTATTTCATTTATGATGCACTGTGTGCTCAGCCCTGGGTGGCATACCACATGGGAGCATAAGAAGAGAGGTAGAAATTGGTAATGGATAAATGTTAACCTGCTGATAATGAAAAATATAAATTAATTAAAACAATGTATTTGATGTTTTCACTTTTAATAATCAAATACTGGTAAAAGTATAATTAATCTGGGACTCCTAGTCATTCATTACTAATGGCAGTAAAAAAGTCTTTTAATCTTTTTAGCAAGCACCATTTAACCAAGTAATTCTAATTCTGAGAGTCTTGCAGTATAAGAAGGAAAGAATAGAGCTTTAGGTCAGACAAATTTGGGCTTGAATTTTGCTCCACCCCTCAGTAAAGAGGACCTTCAGTTTCCATAGTACTCTCCCCCATGATTGGTGGCATGTAAAAGAGAATCTTTATAAAGTGGTTTTAGAAAATGGTAGACTAAGAAAATGGACCCCTCTTATGAGAATACTGGATAAAATAAAACATTTAAATAAATTAGATGGGTTTAAAAGAAATCAAAGGAAACTTGGGCCTGATTAGTGAACTTGCAGGGAACTGTATGGTGGAAACTAGATGCTCTAAAGGCCCTCACTATACACTTTTTGGGGTATTGGGGCATGGCCTTGCAGGCCCGAGTGAGTGAACATGTGGGAGTTATTCAAGAAGCCTTTAGATGGGTAACACCTAGTGGTCCCATTTATTTTCCCTTTCTGGAGGGATGAATGATTCTACACACAGCAGCAAATACAGTTACTGAATGTCCCAAGTAGAAAGGCCATTGTAATAAAATAAGGATTAAAAAGTTTTCAAAGATCCCATTTTCAATAGAATTATCTTTTGGGGAGACAATGAGAGACTTGACTTAATGAAACAAAGCAATACCCAAGAGGATAGCTACCACCTAAGGATCTCTAATGCTAGGCCTGCCCCACCGTACACACACACACACACAGAAAAGGATATAATGAAGCAAATTTTTATTGTTTTGTCAGAATCACCAAATTCATGTTGGCTTTGGGGAATTTCACTTTCTGACCAAAACTATTATAATAGGACAAAACTTCAGCAAATAGTCATTGTTTTGGGAAATAAAATTTTTATTTAGATAGGTTAGCAAAAGGGAAAGCAGATCCTGAAGTATATATAACAAGCATTTTAGGCAGAAATGCAGATGACATAGTTCTGTACAATCTGAAGGATAGTCATCTATTTCCTGGAAAGGCTCATGTCTACATTTAAAATAGGCATAAGTTGCAACTAGCCCACATCACTTGAAAATGGAATTCCCATTTGACCAGTGATCCCACTTCTAGGAATATATCCTAAGAAACTCAATACACTCAAAAGAATATATATATTGATATATACCCCTATGTTTATATATCGATAATAGCAGCGCAATTTACAATAACAGATTTGGAAACAGCCTAAGTGCCCATCAGCAGACAAGTGTAGATGAAAAAGTTATGGTAAATCTACACAAAGAATACTATGTTGCAATAAAAAAGAAAACCCAAATTTGCAACAGCATGGATGGACACCGATATTGTTATGCTGAGTGAAATAAACCAGTCAGAGAAAGATTAGTACCACATGATCTCACTCATACATGGAATCTAATGAACTAAATAAGTTGATGATCAAAATTAGACCCAGTGCCTAAACCAGTTTGACTCATTGGGTAGAGCATTGGCCTGCGAACTGAAAGGTCCCAGGTTCTATTCCGGTTAAAGGCATGTATCTTGGTTGCGGGCGTATCCCCAGTAGCGGGTGTGCAAGAGGCAGCTGATCGATGATTCTCTGTCATCGATGTTTCTAACTCTCTCTCTCTAAAAAAAAAAAATATATATTTTTTAAAAATAGACCCAGTGACAAAAATCATGAATAGACTGTTGTACCTCAGAGGGAAGCCAGATGAGGGTGGATGGGTGGGAAGAGATCAACCAATGAGCTTGTATGCATAACCCATGGATACAGACAAGGCTAGGGGTGTAAGGTTGGGAGGAACGGAAGCAGGCTGGAAGAGGTTAATAGGAGGGGTGGGGGGGGTGATGTGATACTTTCAGTAATAAAGATTTTAAAAAATAGCCTACATCTCCTCACCCCTGCTTTGGAATGATTTAATTAGAAAGATACTAATGTAGATTAAAGTCTTAGCCGTACTCAATTCCTCCCTTGACCTGAGGAAAACCAGGACCATTGAGAATCTGCTGCATGACTAGACATTGTCAAAGGTTTTCTCCAAGTACTGTACACCACTGAGCTTAAAGAGAGCACCCAGGAAGTGGACTGAATGTAAGAAAAGGCGATCTATCGCACATTGACGGCATGACCTATAAGTCCCTACCCTCTGGATGGGAGCACCGAAAGTGTCCAGAGCATCACTTCCATGCAAGAGTGCACCATTTCAGTGCAGAAGGCTGAGAGAACCTTCCAGATGTAAAATAAGGACTCACTGGCCGTCCCTTTAGGCTTGCCACAGTTAAGTATTTATATACTAGAGGTGCACGAATCCATGCACTGGTGGGGTCTGGTAGGCCGGCCGGCCCCAATTGTGGGGATCAGGGCTGGGCCTGTTGGGAAGAGGAGATGGAGGGAGGTTGGCTGGCTGGGGGGAGGGGCTACGGACGATTGGTGGGTGGGCCCCACCTCCAGTTGGGGTTGGGGGGCTGATTGGCTGCGGGGCCTGCAGTAGGAAGGGGCTCTGGGTGGTGGGCTGGCCAGCCTCACCCCCAAATGGGGTGTGGGGTACTGATCAGGGAGGGGTTCAGCGGCCTGGGGGAGGGGCCATGGTTGGCTGGCCAGCCCTGCCCCTGATCAGGGTAGGGGGGTAGATCTGGGGTGGGGCTGGACAGAGGTAAGGACTTCAAGAGGTTGGCCAGCCAGCCCTGCCCTCATTGGGGTGAGAGAGGGTGATCAGGGATGGGGCTGGGGGGAGGCTGGGGGGCATTTGGCCAGCTGGCCCTGCCCTTGATTGGGATGGGAGAGTCTGATCAGGGGCGGGCCGGCTGGGGGGGAGGGGCCGAAGGAGGTTGGCTGGCCGGCCCCACCCCCTGAAGTAGGCTGGTTCACTAGCTACAGTGAGTGTCATAGCAACCGGTTGTTAGAGTTGTTATGGCATTATGATCGCTGGCTTTTTATAGATAGATAGATGATAGATAGATAGATAGATAGATAGATAGATAGATAGATAGATAGGACACAGTAACCACTGAAGCAGAACAGAATCCAAGCAAACCAAAGGCAAATCCTTGCATAGCACAAAGTCCAATAATATAAAATGATGGATCAAAGGATTATTTTTGCTTAATGAGCATTTTGAGTTTTGAGTCTCACTGGACTCACTTTTCAATAGGACATTATGCTCTGGGCTAGAATTTGGAAATTATACTACAGCCATATAATGTCAGACTGATTTAATTGAAGAACTCTGGATGTAAGCCCTGCTGTGCTTATAATATAAAATTTAAAAATGGGTGAGGAGGGCGGGTCGAAAATGGGAAGGATTTTTTCCCCTCTAAAATTAGCTTAGTGTATTAATTCAGAAAGTAGTCGGTTCCATCTGATTGTAGGCCTCCATAATCTGAACCATCTGCCTCTGCATCCAAGGTAGCTCGCCTCTAATCCAGCTTACAGCCGCAAACCTCTCTTCTCCATCAGGATGCCCTTGAGGAGATGAGGCCCTGCAAAACCCTTTGCTCTTAAAGGCGTGGCTGTCATTGAAGATATTTGGAGAGTTTGTCTTTTTCTCTCTTTAGATTTAGTCTGAGTTTTAGGTTTCCTCTTTCTGGAGCAGAAACAATGGCTTTCTTTATGAAAACTATGATAAGTAACCAGGTAAAGAATTTAGGATTTGGTGGCAAGTCTGAAGAAAATAAAGAAGAAGGAGGGCCCTCGGATGCTGCCGCAGCTCAAGGGATGACCAGAGAGGAATATGAGGAATATCAAAAGCAAATGATCGAGGATAAGTGAGTACCTGCAACTTCATTTCCCTTAAAAACCAACCGGAGTTTCTGCCGGCCCTACCTTCACCAGCTCCCCAGTATTTCTCTTTGCCCTGTGGATGCCTTTCCTTGTGCTGTCTGCCTCCAACCTTGTGAAAAGTGTTCTGCTAAAGTGACAGTTTTGTAGCATCCTACCTGTATGAATAGAAAGAAAGAAGAAAAAGTGAATCTATATGACGTTTTTAAGCAGCTTAACACTTTCTGATCCAGGCACGTTTTAATCAACCTCAATTTAAATATTCTCATTTAAAAAAATGTGAGCCTATCTTTATCAGTTTTCTGAACTTCATTCTCCTAGCACATAGAAAGCTTTCAAATGTTAAGACTTCAGACTTGGCACCTGGAAGAGGGCCTTAAAGAACATCGAGTACAGCCATCTTGATCTCACATGTGCAAATAAAAGCTTAGAAAGCACAATGTGACTTGCTTCTCAGACTATGAATAAATTTGTGGGCTGTATATTATGAAAATTTTAAAGACACAGGAAAAAGAACAGTATAATGAATACCCATATATGCCTATTATATATAGTTTTTAAATCCTTACCCAAGGATACTTTCATTGTTATTTTTAGAGAGGGAAAAGGAGAGAGATTGGACAACATTGATGTGAGAGAGAAGCATCAATCTGTTGTCTCCTGCAGGCAAACCGATTGGCACGTGCCCTGACAAGATTCGAACCTATGACCTTTCAGTATATGGGACGATGCTCCTACCAACTGAGTCCCACTGGCCAGAGCATATGATATTGTGACATATTTGCTTATAGATAGATTAGTTAGATGGATAGATAAATAGAACAACTTTTAAAGAAAACTACAGGAATCATCATACTACACCTCTATTTCAGCCATATACCTCCAAAAATTAAGGACATTCTGATGGCTATATAAATGTAATAAAAATAAAATATTCATTATATTTTAGTTGGGTATTATGGAATGTGAATATCACCAACAATTTTTTACTACTAAATACTGATCTTTAAATAAATGCAATTTATATGTAATTTTTTTAAGTTCAAAGTTGAATCAATTTAAGAGTTTTTTAGTAATCAAGTAAGAATTGAAACATTGACCTTGAGGTTAAATGTTCAGTATATGTTACAAAAGAAAAATATTTTTGCCACTATGGCTATTTTGCTAACGATCAGTTACATAAGAGTTGCCTAAGTCCTATTGCTAAGATGATTATAAATGAAAAGGTTAATGACCTGGAGGAAACTAAGTTCAAAGGCCTACACTGAAAGGAAATCTTGTCAATTGTATATATTATTCTGAAAGAAATCATGGCTTAGACTGGTATTATGCTTAGCTCTGCAGTAAGTGAAAGTCAGCTTTAAAAAGTAAATACAACTACAAAGTGATGTTGATGCTAAGATAATACTTAGGAAAAATAATAAAGCAGCATTCCTTGAATATTGTCTAGTTTTGCCTATGGCATGTAAAAAAAACAAACAAGTATAATAAAGAAATAGAAATAGAGTAATAGCACCAAATTCTCAGCTCAAGTGGGCTTATAAAAGGAAAATTGTCAAGTACTTATTGATTGATTGATTGATTGATTTCAAAGAGGAAGGGAGAGGGAGAGAGAGATAGAAAAATCAATGATGAGAAAGAATCACTCATCAGCTGCCTCTTTCACATCCCCCACTGGGAATGAGCCTGTAACCTGGGCATGTGCCGTGACCGAGAATTGAACCATGTGAACTCCTGGTTCATAGGTCAATCAATGCTCAACCACCAAGCCACACTGGTTGGGCAAAATGGTCACGTATTTAGACTATACACCTGACCTTGTAAAATATTTAATATGTCTCAGTAATAAATCTGCTCAAAGATATGGCATCTGTTTGATTAACTAATGTCCTGGTTTTCCTTAATTTTATTTCTAGACAGATCAAAGACCAAAACACTCAAATGATATTTTTATTTATTGAATTGGGTTATTTGCCAACTACTTGTGTGTGTGTGTGTATGTGTGTGTGTGAATATTATAAATTTATGTAGTCATCTAAAGAAAGAAAGATTAACAAGACAATGGGACCAGCCTGCTTCTCCATGGCAAGAGGCATGACTTCTAGTCCATTGCTTGAGCTTTCAAGAGCTTCATTGCCAAAAATACAACATAAAAATGTGAGCATCAAAATGGTTCATCACAAGTTTCATGTAGAGAGAGCTATAGACATCATAGTACATGCAATCATTAATATGAATACTAGTAAATAGAAACCTTCTAAACCTGTCCTCATCATTTTAGAAAAGTTGTGGGGTTGACTTCACTAATTGTAAACTGAAACCTACTTAACAATGCATTCTACTGCACATTTGTTTTTATTTTACTTCTATCTTCAGATTTTTCCCCCACTACTGATAAGATTAATACTGAAATAGGTTTATACCTAAACAGAAAACAATTGGAAAAGTCTAAATAAAACAGCAATCTGCTTATCCCTCCATGTCTCTACATTAAAATGTCCCTTTATTTTAGCTATGGTATAATAATTACTATAGTAACGCTTGTAACTTGAACTTTGATATGCAACACAGACCAAAATATAAAAGCTAAAATTATAAAGCACTTAGAAAAAAGCATAGAATATCTAGTAGGCAAAGATTTTTTAAACAATACTCTGAAAGCAATTACCATACAAATTTTAAGTAATAAAATAGATGTCAAAATTAAAAACTGTGCATCAAAAGACACCATTAAGAAAATAAATAGGCAAGCCGCAAATATAGAAAATATTTGCAAAACATGTCTATGAAGTACTGGGATCTAGAATATAAAAATAATTTCTAGCCTGGCCAGCATGGCTCAACCTATGAACGAGGAGGTCACAGTTCGAGTTCTGGTCAGGGCACATGCCTGGGTTGTGGGCTCAGTCCCCAATGTGGGGCATGCTTTCTCATCACTGATATTTCTATCGCTCCCTCTCCCTTCCTCTATGAAATCAATAAAAATATACTTTTTTAACTTATTTTTTAAAAAGAGAAAGAATACTTTACAAAGATATATTAATGGCCAATGAGTACATTTAAAAAAAAAAAAAAAAAAAGCCCAATATCATTAGTTGTCATGGAAATGAAAATTAAAATCACAGTAAGGTACCATTACACACATACCAAAATTGCTAAAATTAAAAAAACACAGTACTAAAAGTTGGCCTAAATGTGATAGAATTCTTCTGCTTGATGACTGTATGAGAATATAACCACTGGGGTAAAGGTCTGACAGTTTCTAATAAAACTATACTTAGACAACCAAATTACCCTATCACTTAGTAACTCCATGCCTAGATATTACCTAGGAAAAATGAATATACTTACAAAAAGATTTGTACAAAAATGTTCACAGCAGCTTCATTCTCAGTAGCTCCAAATCAGAAATAGCCCAGGTGTCCATCAGCAGCAGGATGAATAAGCAAAGGTGATATATCCATATGGTAGAATACACCTGGTAATAAAAAGGAACAAACTGATAAATGAAAAACTTGGGTAAATCTCTAAAGTTTTCTATGTTGAATGAAAGAAGCCTCACACAAAAGAATGCATAGGTGAGGTTCTAGAACAGGCAAAACCAATCTGTGATGACAAGGACACAGTAGATGTTGCTGGGGAAAGATGATGAGGGAATGTGCTCAAGTGACAGTGCTTTTTATATCTTTAAATGAGTTTGTGTTATACACAGAAACAGAATCAATAGAACAAAGATAGGCAGATAGATACATGGTAAATAGATAATAAACCTATAAACAAAGACATAACTATAATTAAAGGTCATGCATGTGGCAGTGGGGAAGAGAGTACTGATTTCTACAATCTTGAAATGCATCAAAAAATAAGATGGATAAATGAATGGTTAGAGGGGGATAGATATATGATAAAACATGACTTAGTGATGCTTATTGTGGAATCTGGATGGTGAGTATGTTTTCTGAATGTTTGAAATTTTTTATGATAACATATTGGAACAAGAAAACCTGCTTCTGCCCATGCCACAGGATAAGTTACTTAAATAAGTCGCTTATTCTGTTTCCCACTCCAAAACGAGAAGATTGAACCCAGCATGCACTCCTGCCTATTCCAGGCCAGACATTTTGTGGCGGGCAGTCGGTTCAGGGGGTGCCCACTGAGCAGTTTACTGGTAATCTGAGTGCTTCAGACCCAGCCCTTTCAGCAGTCAGCCTTCCACATCATGGTTAAGATGATTTCAAAACTTGCGGTTGAGAATAGAAATTAGTTTAGCCACCTGAAAATGAAACACTTTATTTTAATGCAAATAGTGCTTCATGCAAAGATGCTTCCCCAAACCCAAGAGCAGAAATCCCATCAGGCCCCACCTGGACCTAATCGGAGATGCAGAGAGCAGTTGGGAAGCCACTAGCACTCTTTTCCATCCCTTGCTGTTGCTTCTAACTCACAAGGCAACTTTGCTCTTCCTTCTCAACAGGGAGCTCTCTCCTCGATCTGTTACCCAGACCAGGTGACCCGTGTCCACCTGTCACAGCTCCAGCCCCCGGCTCCAGCCACTTCCTCAGTCCCACCCAAATTCCCAGAGAAGAAGTTTCATTTACCCAGTTTAGTCCAATCCAATCCAGCTAGAGGAGTATGTAAATTTAGCCCCAGTGATACACTTCTGTGGAGGGGAGGTGGTATTGTGAACTTTGCAGATATTCCCAAAGGTGTCTGCCTCTGTCGGGATCATAAGCAAGGGAATTTATTTCAAACCAGCACAGTCACAAGTCCAGTTAAGTGGTCCCCAGAGCAGTGTACAATCAGTCTCATTTTGAAGGGCTGCCTCCTTTCAAATGGAAGGGAACACCCCTGGGAGGTGGGTGGTGGGGGTGGCAAGGAAGGGAAATGGCTGTATATTACATTCCCAATACCATGTGCCTCCAAAGCAGCCCCAGGTCTGGATGTTTGAGCCGGCTGGAAAGTCACTCAGGAGCTTGTTAAATATGTCTGAGGGCAATGGGACTGGAAGGTGTAGCCCCGAGTCTGGCTCCTCTGAGCTGGGCTCTGAATTCCTTAGCTCTACACCCTCTGATCCTTTCTTCTATTCTTTCCCTTTAGGATGGAAAGAGATGCTTCATTTACACAAAAAAAGGCAGAGAGGGCGTGCCTCAGAGTTCATCTCAGAGAAAAATACAGACTTCCAAAGGTGAGGCACCCTTAACACAATAAACATCCAGCCATTTCTTGCTTCAAGAATTTCCCTGTGCGCCGGGACTGGTTTGGCTCAGTGGATGGAGCGTCGGCCTGCGGACTCAAGGGTCCCGGATTCGATTCCGGGCAAGGGCATGTATCGAATACCTTGGTTGTGGGCACATACCCAGTATGGGGTGTGCAAGAGGCAGCTGATCGATGATTCTCTCTCATCGATGTTTCTGACTCTCTTTCCCTCTCTCTTCCTCTCTGTGAAAAATCAATAAAATATTTAAAAAAAAAAAGAATTTCCCTATGGTGTAGAAAATAGTTAATAATACAACTGTTGCTTTTGGGGGGTGGGGGAGTTATAATCCATCATGTTCCACTTTGTCCAGTTATCCCCAGATGTGGCGAATGCCCCAACCTCAACGCAGTACTTTGCATTTGCCTCCAGCCCCCACTTGGGCACTTCCTCTGCCTCGTGGCTGACACAGGTTGCAGTTCCCCTCCCATCCGCCCCATTGAGGCTCTGGGTGCAGCAGGGCCTTCGATAGCCTCTCGGCTAGAAAGGGGCGCTGGGGGAGAGCCACATTTTCCAGTCTCCACTCCCTCACACCCAACCCATCAGACATCACACCTCGGGCTGCGGCTTCCTGTCTGTACAGCTGTGCCGGATGGGAATCCGGGCCCCTGGCGCCCCCTGGTGTCCCTAGTCGCAGAGGGCACGGGCAGCCCCAGGGAAACGCACCCTCGCTGGGACTGTTTTCATTCTTCTGCAGGAACTGTGGGCTGTAGCAGGGACAGTGGTGCTGTTGGGGAACAGAAAATGTCTGAGGATCATTTTTTAAAGTCCATTCTTTTAATTGCACATTTTTATTCTGAAACGGCTGTGCTAGCAAGCCTGGAAGAGCCTGGCGGGCCCTCTTAGAAGCAGCTGTCACAAAGCAAGAGGTGGCAGCACGCATCAGGGACCTGGGTGGGGCAGGTGGGAGGGGGAATTTGAGCAGCGGGCTCCCATGCACGGCATGCCAGGATGGAGATTTAGCTGTCTCCACAGCAACCAGGGTAGTCAGGGGTCTTGAAAGACTGGCAGTACTTGTGGAATTGGCATATGCAGCCTTGAGAGGAGATGACTAGGGGAAAGATGAGTGCAATAGCCACTTCCGAGGGCCTGAATGCCATGCTTTGATCTCAGGCTGGGTCAAGTCCCTGCATGTGGAGGGGCTCATGCTGCCACTACTACGGAACTGGGTGTAATGTTAAGTCCTCCTTTGATTCTGCAGAAGAACTCTGGAGTGCCATCTGAAAACCATGGGGACTTACAGGTTTTCATTTCCTAGATGCACCCTGAGGGCCAGGGAGACCCTGGAAGGCTAGGCAGTGCCCAGGGGCATCATGGTGATTAGGAAAGCTCCATACCATGGCAACATGTCCAGTGAATTGGAGGGAAAGGTATGAGGGACTGACTGGCCAAGGTAACCCTCCTAACGCAGCAGGAGGTGGACAGAGGCCTGGGCCGGTGAGGAACTGGTAGGGTGGAGATGGGACAACAGATGCCTAAGTCACCACATACATCTCCTTCATGGGGGCACCTTGATTCCTGTACGTAATTGATTACTTATCTCCTTACTGCAGTTAAAAATGGTCACCATGGTGTATATACAATGGAATATTATTTGGCCATAAAAAAGAAGAAAATCCTGCCATTTGTGACAACGTGGATGGGCTTTGAGGGCATTAGGCTAGATGAAATAAGTCAGAGAAAGACAAATACTGTATGATCTTACTCATATGTGCAGTCTTAAAAAAAAAAAAAAAAAACTCATAGAGGGAGAGAACAGGTTGCCAGAAGCAAGGGTTGGGGTGGGCAAAATGGGTGAAGGGGGTCAAGAGAACAAACTTTCATTTAGAAGGAAAATAGGCCCTGGGGCTGTAATGTACAGTATGATGACTTTTTTAAAATGGTGATCAAAAGTCATCCGTAAGGCAAATGGTATTGCTATTAATAGTCAGCAGTAACTTTTGGGGTAGGCGGGAACATCTGGGGAACACAATGGAAGCCCCTTCCTCTTCCTCTGTCTCTTCCTAGACAGGGTGTGGGTTCCTGAGCTGCCATGGCACTTTGGCTCATTCACCCCAGTGCTGGGTGTTATTTCTCTTTTTATTGAACTTATTTTTTATCTACAGAAAAGCACATGATGTAGGCATAGGCTCATAATCATGAAACTCCTGTAAATTGAGTTTCATCTGATCTTCCCCAAGTCCACCTGTGTTTCTGCACCCAGGATGGTATAATAGAGTTGAGAACTGAACACAACTGTCTAACAACAAGAAAAAAGGTGTGGGGCAGAAGGATCTGGTCACCCAGGCCTTAATGGGCTCCTAATGACAACCTTCCCCTCCCTCGAGGTTTGCAGAATTCTTAGCTCTGGGCCATCTTATAAAGTCCATGGTGGGCAAGCCCCCACACTAATATCAACAGTCCTCCGGGAGCTGGACACACTCAACATGTTCCCCTGCTAACAAGGGACAACTGAGTGCCTCATTCACAATTCCTCAGGGTCACGTCTGTTCATGATCGTGTAGCCAGCAGGAGGCGGTTCTGGGCCCCTTTATGCAGGCCCAGTAGAGAGCAGACCTGAGGAATTTGTCTTCCCAGGAGCTGTCGGGGATAACAATATCACATTGAGGAATTAACACTATATTTTCTAAGTTGTTTGGCGGGTGTTTTCTGTGGAAAATAATGTTGTCTCTGGGTTGCTGAGTAGGGAAAGGGAGCTTAGGCTGCAAGAAAGAGACAAACTACACAAGGTCTCCTCTCTGAGGTTATTGCTTACTGTCAGTGACAGTCCTATATGTCACACCCATCTTCTGATGACCACATTTTATTGTAGTAATGACACAAGGAGTCATTACTTACTAGAGGAGCATCTGCAGCACATCTAAGAAAATGCATCGGCCATGATCGTGCTCATGTCCACGTCCGCTCTGCTGATTTCCTCTGGTGTCCCAATCACTAGTAATTAGAGGGCCTCAGATGCTATGGCAAGCTGTGATGCTCACGTTGGACTTGGATCTCAGTCCATTAATTCTGTATGCTCAGGTTTTCCTCTCTATTGGTTTTTCCTTTACAAAGGAGTTGGATCTCTCCCAACGAAAACACACAGAATAAACGTGCTTTCTAGGTGTCCTCCCTAAAGGACTGGTGGCCATCATTCTGCCGAAACGCCTTCTTCAGACACTCAGTCAAATGGTTCCATTATCTTTTTGTTTCTCGTTGCTTTGTTGGGCACTGGTTACTTCTTCCTCCCTGAAGCCCTCTCTCAGCTTCTGGACACCACCCTCTGGTTCTCATTCTCCTCAAACTATTTCTCCTCCATCTTCTTCATGGCTAACCTGCCCCAAATTTGGAGGGTGCTCCCTCCATCTGCTCTTTTCCCTCTCCCGTCAAACATTTTCCCCAGATGGCTACATTTTGCTGTTGCTTCCAGCAACCATCTATGAGTGTGTTGCTGTGCAGACTTCCAGCCCACACTATCTCCCTAACTGTCACCTCTCTTTGGGGCTCCTCAAACCTCATCTTCAGAACGGAGTCTTTCATTATCCCTTAAACAGGGCTTCCTGGAGGCTTCACCCTGGCCAGCTCCTCATCCCCTGCACTTTTCTACTGCACACCCTCCCCCCCCCAAAAAAAAACTGGAAGTCTTAACCCTTCTCCAGCAAATAACCATGTCACACTAATTTCACCTCCTAAACAATTCTCAACTCCATCCCAAGTTCAGGCCTCATCATTCCTCACCTCTTATTTTAATAGCTCTTTAATAGCTTTTTGACTTTGAGTCTTGTTCCTCTTAAAACATCAGAGGGAGGTTTCCAAAAGGCAAATCTGATCCTGTTGAAAGAGGGGGGAGAGGGAGAGAGGGAGGGGGGAGTCTTATCACAACTTTTTAGAATGAAGTCACAACCCTTGGCCCCATTATGTGGCTCCTGACTTTCCTGCCTCGTGCCACTCCCTGCCTGGACTGTACTTTTCTCCCACTTTGTTCTCTATACCCTATTACTTGTGGTCCCCTTCCCTCCTGTAAGACTTTGGTCTAGTGCCATTTCTTCCAGAACCTTCCAAGACCTCTCTCTCCCACTCTCCTTCTTGCTCCTGTAATACTTAAGTTCATGTCTCTTATGCCTTTTCCACCCTCAATATTCTCACTAACTACACTGTGCTGCTTAACGAAAAGGGGCTCAGTTTTTCATCATTATCTCAATGCCATATATGGATCCTGGCATGTGAAAGTTACAAGCAAAAGGTTTACTATGATTGTTGTTATTGGTAAAAAGAGGTTGGGGCTGGAGGGGGGGGGGGGGGGCAGGAGAGAAGGTGGCGGGGAGAAACCATACCCAAAGAACAAAGTATCAGAAACAGCAGAAAGAATCTATCTGCCATGAGAGTTATATTAAAATAAATTTTCATGTAAAGAACAAGTCTGAATTTGTGATCATAATATTATAATACAAAATTATAATTCTGTATAAAATGCAAAGGCTCTTTGACATTATAATTAAGATGCCATATTTCTTTAACTAGAGGAAGTGGTACATTTTAAATAAAGCCACAAGATTATGTCTAAAAACAAAGTTGCCCCCCTCTTCCTAGCCAATTCAAGATATATATGTATAATAAGTCAAGCCAAATTAATAAGAGAAAACAGTTCCACAATGAACCCTAATCCTATTAACAGAATTGTCAATCTAGTTAGTCACTGAAAAATAATGTCATGCCCCCTGCTGAGCTCCATGATTTAGTTACACCTGGTGTTTGTCTGCTGTATTAAGGGCACCGTTCAGTTTGAATAAAGATGAAGGTAGAAGACAGTCTATCAATAGAATTGTCTTTCAAAGTATCACACTGAAAGCTCCATTAGAATTGAATTTAAAATTTGCCTCTTAAAGAAAAATGTGGTTCTGTGAACCTTTCTTTGCCCTCCTCCTTTGAATTTGGGGCTGTTCAGCAGGACT